TCACTACTTTGGGTCTACTATTTTAGCACATAACATTGAATGCTTTGATGATCTTGGCTATATAGTCGATTGTTTAATCGATTTGTAAATTTTTTGTAAATGGATAGTGTCCCTTTAGCACTCACATCAACACAGATTCATACTTTTATTTCAAAAAAAAAAATGTTTGGCTGACATAAACTTGGTGGACCATAGGGATAGAAGGATATGGGAATTGGACAAGCAAATGGGTTTTTCTGTGAAATCATTCTACAATTATTTATCCAATAGAGATGGAGGAGCAGGTATGGTAGCACCTTTTAAGCAGATTTAGAGATCCAAAGCTCCCCCTAGAATGACTTTCTTTGCTTGGGAAGCCTCTAGAGAATGTGTCTTGACTATTGATATGCTGAGGAGGAGAGTTAACATTTTGGTAAATAGGTGCTATTTGTGTAAAGCTGATGAGGAATCTTGTAATCACGTATTAATTGGGTCCCTGACTCTGTACAACACTTGGACTACTGTTTATGGGCTTATGGGAATGAATTGTGTCATGGCAGGTGTGGGTGGGAATCTGTAAAAAGAAAATGCATTTATTCTTTGTTCTGCTTATCATTTTTTGAGTAGTATGAAAGGAAAGAAATGCTAAAACTTTTGAGAGAATAGAAACTAATTTTATAAACATTAGAGATAGATGAATTCACACTTTTGATTCTATTTTTTGGATCATGACATTAGAGAATGGGAAGATGTTAGTATAGTCATTGACCACTTTGATTGATGTGTAATTATTTTGTAATGGTGGTACCCCTTTGATACCTATGTTTATAATAATATACTTTTCTTTTATTTAAAAAAAAATTGGGACGACATCACTTCTATGGAATAGGGCTTTGCTGGAATTCATACTTGTGTTATTTTTATCTTGATTTTTGTTTTGTTTCTTGGAGGATATCTTATTCTCCATTTTTATAACTACTTTCTTTTCATTCATTTTTAATGAAGCTTCTTCTTTAATTCAAAAACAATAAGTTAGAATATCAAGCAATGACTCATATTACATCTGAGTTGATTAAGTTGAAACATCTACTTCACAAACTTAGCTTTCCACAATCACAACCTTTAGAGCTACTGTGTGATGACCAAACAACAATCCATATTGCTTTAGAGCTTGTTTTCCATTAGAGAACTAAACAAATTGAGATTGATTGTCATTTTATTTGAGAAATCTTCTATAAAATGTTATTCTGGCTACTCGTAAGAATTGACTAGCTGGTACGTTCACAAAATTTGAGCTTGTATGAAGGTCACTTGTAACAAGCTTGGTGCATATGATATATATGCTTCAGCCAGAGGGTTAGTTGTACAATACAAAATATATTTCCAATATAATTATTTTCTAGTAGAGGTCTTTCTTATATTGTTAATTTTTGCAGTTATTGTTTTTCTTTTCTTGGCATTAGGATTTTTGGAAAAAATATAGTAAAATTATAGTAATTTTCATAAAAAAAATTATTAAATGAAGAAGCTACAAGGAAATTTTTCTATTTCTTGTTCGACCTCAGTAATTTTGCTCCTGCATTTTACCTTTTGTTTAAATAAAAGAAATATTATTACAATCAGAGGAAGAAAACATTTTTTTTTTTAAATAAAAACAGTATGTATGAATTACTATGAGAACTTAGGGGTGCAACCGGTTTACAATTTAATTACAGCTCAGTCATCACGAGACAGAAACTTCTAAAAGCCTTGGTGACCTCTAATGGTTGATCCGGCATAAAAAACTCAAGGGTCCTAAACTATCTATTCTTTAAAATATCAAAATTCTTAATATTATCAATACCATCGAAAACCCTCTTATTTCTTTCCTTTCACAGAAATATTATTATCAGAGAAAGAAAATATAAAAAGCAAGAGGATGAGGCACCTCAAGAAAACCTCTGGAAAAATGGAGGACTACTCTGGCTTGAATGATTATGCATTGGCAAGCAAAAAGCTAGTTCCCTGAGTATTGTTCTTTATTTTAGACTGTTTCAGTTATCTAATACTCTATTTCAATATATAATGAAGAAAAGGAAATAAGATGAATATTGCTTAACTAGGATTATGTTATGGGGATGGAACACTATGGTAGCATTGAGTTCGTGCTTAAAAACATTTTTGGGTTTTGTAAGGCTAAATTACAATTTTCGAGAACTAAAAAAGTTAGCATATCATAGTTTTAGCTTTTTTCTCTCAAAGAGAAGATAAAGTTAGCATATTCAAATGCTATACTTTTATTTGAGATGGTTTTATGTGAGGCGGGTGTGCCAATAAGTTTTCTGTGTATGTTTGCACTGTATCATCTCTTAGTCATATTTCTGATTATTTTTCTAGTTTGGTTCAGTTCTGTCTTTCTCTCTGCATTTTCTTTTCTGTTTATATTTTTTTTTCTGTTTATACTCTCTTTACGTGTGTGCATTTCTCTAAATATTTTCTTGTTTCCTGCAGTTCTTTGTTTCTGTCTTCTTTAAGTAGGGGAGACTAAGCTACATTTTGTTACTAAATCCCTTATTCTGATTTTTTTTTCAGTTTAGGTACAGGAAAAGAAGCAGAAGAAACTAATTTGTTGCAGCAGTTATCTGATGCTTGCTTGGTAGTTGATGCTTTAGAGCCATCTGTGAGAGAAGAGCTGGTAAATAACTTCTGCAACAGAGAGCTAACTTCATATGAACAGATTTTTGAAGGAGCTGGTATGTCTGTTTTTCTTTTCAGACTTTAGATTCCATTTATTTATCCTTAAAACTCCTAATTATTAGTTGATCTTCAGAACTGGCTAAGTTGGATAAAACTGAACGAAGATATGCATGGATAAAGCGTCGAATAAGAACGAATGAAGAAATATGGAAAATATTTCCTCCTTCATGGCATGTTCCTTATGGCTTGTGTATCCAGTTCTGTAAGAAAACAAGGTATCCTGCATTCAACATAATCTATTTATCTCTATTGGACATTTGCAGGAGGCAGCTTAATGTTCAGTCCAGAATGAGTTTTCTTTGTTGCCAGTGCAAATAGTTCAGCAAAGTGGTCAACCCACTTTGTGACTTAGTGGGCTGCCTATGCGGAATCACTTGTCATTTGTGGGTTGACTTGGTTCTGGTTCTTTGTTGCTCCATTTTGAGGGGTTTCGATGTGGAAAAATAACTTAGGAATATTTATTAATTCATTTATTAAAATAACTTATTAATCCATTATCTATTGGAATTCATAGTCAATAAGCTGAACATTTTCTTAAGGTGTAGTTAGGCCAGGCATAAATCTGGGCTTCTTTTGCAAGAAAGTAGAGATTTTTTCTAAGATATGATTTATGTTGTAGTAGGTGAATAATATTTGATGGATATTTATTTCTTTATATTTCACTAATTTATTGATTTAATATTTGAAAGTAAAGATATAATATTAATTTATTATTATTTATTATTATTGTTTAAATAATTTTTATAATTAGTTAAGTACTGATGATTTAAGATTAACAGTATATAGAATAAAATAGGTAAAATAATAAAAAATAAGTATTTTCATTATAATTTCAATTATTTGACGATTTAATTTTTTTAATGTTGTTTAAATAATTTTAACAATTGTTTTTTTATTTTTCTGCATTTTTATCATTTAAATGTTTGTGTCTACTTTATAATATGATTAATTAAATATTTTATTTTATTTTATATTGATAGCACTTTTATAGTAAGTTGTATAGAACATTATACTGCTTTCACTTTAAAACTATTTCATTGAAAATATTGTTACAACTCTTTCAGTAACGCTACACAAACACAAACAACAGCCTAACTAAACGGATCCTAAGTGGATGTGAACTTTCCAGAATACATAATGCAAGTCATTTGTTTGGACCCAACAGTGTAGTTAGTACTAGTACTGATAGCCTAAGAAAAGGCTTGTTAATAAGGTTTCCTCTGCATGATTAATGAGGCTTATATGATCCTCAATTTTGCTTGGAATAGTTTTTCTTGAAAAGATTTGAGAAGGGGGTTGAAATACAATATTCTTTCTGAATTTCTCTGTTGTATAGATTTTCTTGGATAGCTGTCATATGATCCTCAATTTTGCTTGGACTAGTTTTTCTTGAGAAGATGGTGAAAAGGAGTGGAAATGCAATACTTATTTCAGAATCTCTGTGTTCTATAAATTTTCTTGGGGGTAGCTATTAGGATATCAAATCCTTATTTTCTTTGAGAATCTTATTTCGACTCTCCACTTAAAGAAGCATGTTCACTTCATATAATACTCTAAATAGAAGTTTCAAGAATCTTGAGTCATGTTCATTTCATATAATACTCTAAAAAGAGGTTTCAAGAATCTTGAGTCTTTGATTTATTTGCTTTTTGTTTTAGGAAACAACTAGAGGGGATCCTTGATAACCTGAAAGAAAAGCCAGATGTTGGAACACTATTGCTGGTGAGCAAGTTTTTTTATGCTACTTCATTGTTTTGTTCTCCTTCACTTGAGTAAAATTCACCATAATCACACTATCCTTAAGTTAGTCTATCTGTGATCGGGTCAATGGATTCTATTGGTTGAAAGCGATACTACCACTTTCATTTAATAGTTTATTGTTGGTCCATCTGTTAGTCCTCATGTTTACCAAAAATCATTCCTTCGACTTTGTGGTGTGTGTGCATTTGAGAAGAAATGTTAGTGTCTATATCAGTAAACTAGGCTATCAGAGAAGGGAAAGGCTGCTCTCAATCCTCAATGCCGAGTAAGCAGCTGTGATATGGGAAGTGGTAGATCCATCAAAATGTAGTATTTCAAACTGAAGGTTTAAACCTGTGATTGTGGACATTCCAGTCCCAACATGTTCAAAATCATCCTATACTACAAAGAGCTAGGTTCCGTAAAAGAGCAGCATAATCTTTTATTCATTAAAGACAAGGTTTTACTCTTAAATGTTCCCAATATCCAAATCTCATCCTTTAACGAAGACAATGCACCTTTTGCCTAACTATAATGCGACAATAACAAAATCTTTATGATTCCCTTTGAAGTGGTTGTCCCAAGCCAATTATTGAGATAATTTTGGGGTACTCTTTGTTCATTGTGGCTATTTTACCATTTCTCACCTAAGACTGCATTGGGTTCTGATTATCTTTTTTCCTTAATGTTTTTATATTTTGGAATTTGTTTATTAGGCATTACAGAGAACTCTGGAGTTTGAGGATGAATTAGCAGAGAAATTTGGTGGTAGTGCTCCAAATAGAGAGATTGCCAATGACATTGAAGAAATTGGTACAGGGGAAAAGAATGGTCAGAATAATGTGTCCGACATTCGTAAGAAGTATGAAAGAAAGCTTGCTGCACATCAGGGAAGTGGAGTTGAAGTAAGTATAAAATGTTACCCTCTATGATTTAGAATTCTGTATTGCTACATTTACCAAACAGACCTTGTTTCTCATACGTGGACAGGAAAATAATGGAAAGGACTTGTCTGTGCCTGGAGCTGGGGTACAGTCCACTCTTACTATGGTTATTCTTATTAGCAGCATTATACTTCTGGGCCATCTGTTCATCTTTCAGTCTGATTGCTGTGGGGGGATTGAGGCTTGTGTTTTGGTTTTCCACTTCTTTTTATCTCTCATACTGCGCTGGTGGGATTTACTTGTCTGGGTAGTTTGCTCCTAGTTCATGCCAGTTGTTTGGGTTAAGGTGTTATCATATACTTTCCTGGCTGAAAACTAGGATCTGAAGTTATTGCCATGATGGAAATCATACACAAGTATCAACTATAGGACCCACAATCTTAGATAAGACACGTGCTTTTATCTCCCACATTATATCAGAACCGATATAAATAAAGTCGTCTATAGATGGATCAAGTAGGTTTAATTATACATTTATTTTTATTTCTTAGGAACTGTCTAAAATGAAAATATCAAGTGATTATGAATGATTTAGTTCAAAATTTATGCTTAATGAAAGCAAATTATGTAGAAATTATGAGAAATGGTAGATGCCAAGTTGGTTTGAATCACCTGACTGGTTAAAACCATTATTATCCTGACCTAAGAGGGGCTGGCTGGGCTGCTTCTACTTAAAGAACAAAGATGTGTCAATTGAATGGTGTATTAGAAAACTTAAAATGCTCTTTAAATTTGGTCCTTTAATTTAACTGATGGTTTCTTAGATAACAAAGTGAGATGATTTAGAGCAGTGCTTTCATATGATTTTTTTTAAATGCAAAGGAAATTTCATTGAAGGCACCAAAGGAATCCACTCATGTACAAAGATATTTATAAAAGTAGGTTCAGTCAAAATATCTAAAAGATATCATAGATCATCTCCATCATGATCTTGGAGAAAATGATCCTTGAACAAAATACTCAAGGTTTTGGAATCAATGACATCTGGTCCTATCAAAAGGAGAGCACGTGCAAAGCTCTTCTATTTCTTCCCTTCTCTTCTGCCTACTATAGGAATTACACAAGATCTTTTCTATTGTTGCTAACCTAATTCCATTTCACGTCTTAATTTCATCCACAATTGAGTTGGCCACCAGCCATCCCGAGTGAATAAGGTTGAGGAGCAAATCCCATAGCCATCTTTTTTCTGAATACCGGAAGAAGAATTGGGAGGATTTCCGGTCTCTTAAAAAACAAGTTAAACAGCATTAGAAAAGGATGTGCTCTCGTTTCAAAAAAATTCAAATGTGCTGATTCTTCCCCATGAGTCCTTCGACCAAAAAAGGTCATACAAGCTCATACTTGCTAAGTCTGCTTCCAAGGAAAGCTGCCCATAGCCTAACTTCAAGGACTGGTGGTAATATCTTAATGCAAAACAAAGTCTTAATCTGGAAGAAATTTTCTATTAGATTCTTTTGAATTATTATTGTTATTATTATTTAGTATTTTGTCTATTTAGCCTATCGGTAGATTTTAAATTATTACGTTACATAAGCTTTTGATTTCCTCTTTATTGATTTTCACATTTCCGGCATTAGTTGTAATGGATGCCTATGTAAATGTTAAGAAAAAGAAAATAAATGGTGATCAATTAAGAATTCCTTTTGCTAAACTTATGGTCTCTTTATGTCTATTCTTCTTATTGTTATTATCTCTAAACTATCCCATTTAGTCCACTTCTTCTGACATTTCTTCATTTGTTCTCAAATTTCCTCTGTTATATTTCTATCTTTTATTTTTGGTTTCTCACCTTTTTCGCTTATTTTTTAACTATTACTAGAACAAATTAGTTTCTGAGTTACTTATCCTGCATTAGCTGGTATAAGAGCCTAATTATCCTATGCTATCTTCCTTTCCAAATTTATTACTTTCTAGGGGAAAAGCACTTTCTTAAAAAAAAATCTAAGAAAACATAATTCTTGAAAAAAAGGTCATTGAAGAAAAAACCTAAGCTCTTGCCCCCTCTACCATAACCAAACCCTTCCACCATGCTCCAAATAGAACAAAGACTATGACTCTCCCTTTTTATTGGACTTTCATGACTGGATGTCACTTTCAGACACACCACAATAATTTTAGCTGTTGACACCCTATAGATTCACCATCTTCAAGATCATTCTGTGGAAGGCGAACGTCGACCTCTACCTCTTAGTTATCCTCATGCCAATTATGGACAGATCATTGCCATCAGATTGTTGGAAAGCCGTGTGTGAGTTCTACGTGCCATTGAAACTAAGTGACCTGAGCCAGTTTATTCTACGCCAAACCAATGAGAGCTGATCACTGAGTCGGGTCTCTTGCTTTGAGCCTCGTTTGAGTCAATTCAACTTTCAAGCCACTTTTGAGCTCTTTACTAGAATGATATTTTTCAAAAATTTTTAATCCTTAAAAAAGTGTGTATGCGGAGTCCATTTATGGAAGCAGTTGACATTCAATCTTAGGATCGTAGCGAAGTCCTTCACCTCCACTTTGTCCCCAATGTTTACCTATTTTATGTTCCAAATTTATCTTAAGACACAAGACAACTTGAAAACAAATTAATAAGAAATGAAATTTAAGAACCATTTCTGTATTACCCTTGCAAAAGGGAATTAAAGTCATCTTCAAAGAGCATATTTTTTCAGATCTATTGCCTCCCAATTTACAAAAGCCTTGAAAGCAAGTTCCTGATCTAGCTTTAAGAAACATTCCATCAACGTCATCCATGACGAGGATGAAAATTGAGGAGATTCGGGTGACATTGCCTTGGACCTCTTGAATACTTGAAGAAATGTAAAGATCACGATTAATTGATAATGCAAATGAGGCTATTAAGATGCATTGATAAATCAATTTATGGCATCTACCCTCAATCTCCATATGCTATATCACATATAATAACAAAATCTCATCTCACTTTAACATTCAGCTTTTTCTTTTTTTTGTGTCAACCTTGCAAATAAGGCCGCTTTTCTGTTTTTGTGTGCACAAAATGAGTTGGGATTTGTAGCCTTCCATAAACTCTTGTTAGGCTTCCTGATAACGTGGTCCACCACCCTGCTCAACCTATTGACTAAAACTTCATCTATAAGCTTCTAGACACACCTGACCAAGGTAATAAGCGGAAGTATTTAATATCTGTCACCTCTTAAGCTTTTATGTGAAACTTTATCTGATCATTATAGATAATGATATTTAATGTAGTGCCGGTGTGAAGAAGGAAAAGCTAGAAGGGCTAAAAATCATAAAGATTGTCAGTTGGAATGATAATGGCACTGGTACCATTTTGAAGCATAATACTAGTAAGGAAGGTTTTTTTAGGGTTAATCTACGTATAATGATGTTATGTTCTCGAGATCAGGATCTTGTCACTAGGTGGTTATATGAAATTTCCGGTTCGAGAATCTGCTTATTCTCTTTATTGTGATTTTTTGAGTGACTTATTTGGTGAAAATAGATTACAACTCATTAAAGGGAGTTGCTATATTTAATCTTGTTTTAGAGAGCTCAAATCTCATACTTTAAAATAATATTCTGACTTATTTTATTAATAACAAACATTTTCCTTTATATAGAGATTATAATTCTTATTTAGAAATATTAATCTAATTTTGAATGTAAATTTAATTAGAAATATTCTACTAAAATATTGAAAATTGTACAC